AGAACACCATATTTACATGGTTCAACCAATTGACCTACATCCACGGATAAAGAATGAGCAAATCACTACTATAAAAGAGGGACTATTACAAATATGCCTTAGGAAGATGTTCTTAGGCCATAAAATACCCGAATCTATTAAACAAAAAAAACCCAAACTATTTAATGGACTTAAACCCAAAACAAATACTTAGGGTTTTCTTGTGGTGATTTCGAAGCTCAAACCCTTATTTATAGTTCCAATAGGAGATAACAAGCCTGATTTTCTTGATGTTGGACTATGAGACTTGCCAAACTAACAAATCTCCACCTTGGCATGTCCCAACAAAACTTGCTCCACCTCCTTCATAAAAGCCCCAACGGGCAATCACCAACAATGAACACCAACCAAGTCTAAGCACTGCTTGAACTTGTAAACTGGAAGAGGCTTCGTAAGCATATCAGCTGGATTGTCCTTCGTATGAATTTTCTGAACAAGGACCTTTCCCTCAGTAATAGTATCTTATTTGCATCCAACAATTTTCTTACCCGAAGGCGGCTTCACAAGATCCCAAGTTCTATTCTGATGGAGAGATGGGTGAGGAAGCTGCAGCGATGGGCGAGGAAGCTACAGAGATGAGCGAGAACTACAAATGTTGTGGCCATCACTACCTTCCTGCTATGGTAGAGAAATTGCTGCGGGTAATTGCAGTTACAACTACTAAAGCTTGCTGTGGTAGAGAAATTGCTGCAGCAGAGGGAAGTGGCTGCAGATGGAAGCTGTAAAAACTGCAATTGTTCCTATTACCGCAAGAAGGCAGTGATGGCTGTGGCGGTAAGGATGGCGGCAGCGCTCGAGTGAGATGTGGGAACGAGAAGGAGAGGTCACTGGTCGGGGAGCAGTTGCGAGGACGGTGGCCACCACGGTAGTGTAGGCGAGGTTCTTGTGAGGGCAGGAGGTGACCGAGCAGTCTCCGACTCCAGAACAGGAAGCAACGGCGCCGGAGGAGACGTAAGCAACAGCACTACCCTTTCCAACCGAACAGAAAAGAGGAGTAGTAGAAAGCTTCGACAGAGTTGCCTACATCTGCGCTCTGATACCATGTAAAGAATTAAACGAAGAAGATAAAAAAATAGAAATAGTAGAAGAAACTATGAAATATATGAGATGTAATTGTCCCGTTCATTTAGATAGTGAACTCTTGAGGATTTTCCTCAAAATTCTTAACCGAGGAAATCTTATCTGCTCATCAATAAATGGCCAACGACACAGTCCGACAGCAGCACCTCCTATAGTTGTCTGGTTAATTAACAAGCGATCAACGAGAGGCAGAGACACCTCGTTGTAACAAAACTTCAATGCCGATCACACCTTGGGGACCGTTTGGTTTGAAGGAAGGTGTGGTGAGATACGGCCGGCCATCGTGCTGTCCTTTTCCAGAATGATTTCGATCGGATAGCGGAAATTCAACTTTCTAGAACGACTCTCTGCAAGTCCATCTGATGACGTTTCCTCGATCTTGTGCTGCAGATGGTCTCTCATAGCGGGAAGATTGCCGGGCCGAACAGACAACGAGATCAAGAATTACTGGAACGCACACTTGGGCAAGAGGCCGTTGACCATCGAGGACCTCAACCTCAAGTTGAACAAGCGGCTCGAGGGCACCGGTGGCCTCACGCGCCCTCTCCCGACCCGCATCCTGGCGTCGAGGCGTGACCTCGTCGCCACGGCCATGGACCCGGGCGGTGGTGGTGGTGGTGGCGCTGCCGCCGAGCAGCTGCACTCGGAGTTCGACTTGGAGCGGCTTCTCAGCTTGATCACAAACCTGGATGGGAGTAGCAGCACGGGGAATGACGTCGGAACAGAAGCCGATGGCAGCGGAAGCACGCTGGAATTTGAGTTTGATGATCTGGACAAGTTCATGAACTACGAGGATGATATCGGGTCCTACCTTCTCAACTGATGGCTACTTCTCGAAGGTGGCATTTGTTTTACTGGACATTTGTGTCGAGACGATTGATTCGATCAATTATGATGGATCCCCACATCTACATATAAATATGTATATTATCTATGTTAAGGTAGATATGGACGGGGCCTGGAAAGCTTTGTAGGTGACGCATGGAGAGATCCCGCGGCCCGGCCACCTCTCTCGTTCCAAAGATCAATAAAAACTGAGGTCGAAACACAATGATTCGATTGGGTGAATGTTGTTGAGGATTTCCCTCAATTTTCTCATATGGAATCCTCTATTCTTTTATCAGTTGATGCTTAAATTTCATTATCATTGGAGTGAGGAACTCTGCAGCATGGATTGATCTTACTAACGATAGGATGACATGGCAAGTCAAGTGCAGACCACGTCAGCCGCTATCCAAACGTAAGAACGTGGACATTATCATGAGCAGTCATGTCACGCGTGGCAGGCTATGAGACGTGTCGACATGGTGAAGCTTAACTAGGAGCAAATAAAACGAGAAAAGAAAGATTGAGCTAGACCGACAACAGGTGTACGTCGGCATCCTTGTGTAGCTGTCTGGTTCGAGCAAGGTGGTGCCTGTGATACCCATGGCTCGTGATAGGAGACTTGACGCTGCGTAGAATCCTTCAGCTGTCATAGAACTATTGGTCAAGGTGGACGCTGCAGTGGAAGGGGCCCTCCCCCCTTCCTCTTCGCCACGCACAGCAGCACGCCGATGAGTCAAGCGAGATCCATCATCCCGAAAAGAAGTGAACAAGATATTGCTTTGGTCTCCAACATCCTCTCCCGCCTCTGACCCAACCCGGTAAAGTAGATAGCGTTGGTCTAAGGCGTGGGTACATTTTGACCCGGAGGACACAAGTCGTAAAGCATGCAACTCTTCAGCCTTACTTGGGAAGCTATTTTAGAACCGGTCCTTCCATGGAAGTCGCAGGAAGAGGGGAATCATGCAAGTACGTATAGTGGCGCTGTAGCGCAAGGACGTTCTTTGACTCGCTCGGGTGACTGTGCTTGAAGAACCCCAGTCCAAAAGTCCATCATAATTACTCAATCTAATCACACTTTGCTTTCAAGACATCTTGTCGTGTCCCAGAATAGCATGAGAGATGTTACACCAGTCCTACTCGATCTAAATCATGCTTTACTTTCAACACGTCGTGTCTTGTCCAAAACAACATTGGGAGATAGAAAGAGAGAGCGAGAGAGGCATACATAACTGTCATCTTCTTACCTGGGCTGGAGAGGCCCCGGCCGGAGGATGCAAGATGAGCAACGAGACGACAAAGTGTGCGGTGGTGTTCAAAGCGAATGAGATCGCATTCCGGTTGGGCCTTCCTTTGCTGCAGACCTTCATTCTGTCTCGCCTTCCAATGCTTCTCTATGCCTCTCTCATTGTTACGGACGACCTCCGAAGAATCGAGAGCAACTAAAAATTGCACGACCTCTCCATCCCAAGCCAACCTGAACCCACAAAAAAAGGGAAAACACCGGCGACTACCCGTAGCTCCGGCCGTGTCGCCCGGTTAGCCACCTGTAGCTGCCGGTGGCTTGCAGTCTAAGGCTGCACTCCGTACCGGACCCTGACGTCCTTAAATGCCCCTCTTGACCGTTCGATAACGGGATACGAGTCAAACTGACATATCCATATGCATGCTTCCGGGTACGTAGATCTCTTACATGCACCATTTATACAGGCACACATCTTGAATGGCATATCGTACCGTACTAAACTAATTCTAAATAAGAGCTACGCCCCTATTTCTGGACATCCCATGACGTCTAGAGAAAAAGGAAATAGATCATCTTTATCATACATCTGTTTACGATCTTACTTCTATGCTATACATCAAACAACCGGACAAAGACCGAGGACCTCTTTGTCTTTGGTCAACCGGACAAGAAGGAGAAAATGGAATGAATTCGTTAGAACAAAGTCAAATAAATAACCATTTAGCAACCCAACAGAATTCAAGTGTCTTGGAAGCATCGGACGACTCGTTTCGTTAAGCCAACTCGGGTGATCGTACGGAATCACGATCGATCCCAGCCGTCCACCTGGGCCAGCTCGTCGGTGATGCTATTCCATCACTTAAGCGTCGTTTCATCCGACGGTCCAGATATAGTGATGTCACTTGGCTAGTGCGCACGCGGTGTCACGGGCCCGTGCGATGAGGACCAATCAGCGGGTTATAAGGATGTGGGGGATGACAGAGCAGGCGGTGCCCGGATCGTACGGTTAGCTGCGGTGGATGGCACACGGCAGATCGACGCCGTCCAATAGATGGGACCCGTCGGAGAATGGAAGGGTGACGTGACAGCTCGGTTTCTGAGATGATGGAGGCGATGGACGACTCAGATCTTGCATGCGGTTAGCGTATGCAAGGACGATGACGGGGCCGTTTTACGTCGAAAAGAGGTGGAGACGGGACGACAGCCTACAGGGGATGCAGCTGCTGCTACAGATGACCGGTGGTATTCGACGCTATGCTATATATAGAACAGCGCAGGGAGCGGGCTTCTTCGCCCATTTCCACTGCACTTCCATTGGGGAACCGAAACCCCAAGACGGAGCGGCGAATGCTTTTCCTCGGCTTTGGGAATTCGGAGCTACTTTTAATTTTTGGTGGTTAAAGAAGTAGAACAAATTGGGGGGAATCTCACCTTGATCTCAATCCTCACCCCAACCTAGTAGCCGTTTCCATTCTCGTCCGATAGCCGCTGGTGAAGAATGAAGAGATCGTAAGAGGAGTTGCAACGCATTCATTTCTGATGCTGCAGTTGGAATCGAGAGCAGGGAGTCGAAGAAGTGCATGATCGGTGAAAGGTAAGAGGTTAGGGCTTTACCTATTCGCTCGATCGATTGTTTTCTTTCTTTTGGTTTCGGTCTTCGAAACGAAAAGTAGTCGGTTCTCGCTTGTGAATTGGGGAGTTGATCGGGTGGTTTTGATTGTGATTTCAACATGGTGTTTTGTCATTCGATCGATTCTTTTCTTTTTCTCTGTAATCTTGTGTTTGGTTTCGTAGGGATTTGAGAGCAGAGGCAACTCCTCGGCTCGCAACAGAGATCGAGTAGTTGAGTTTGTTCTGTTACAAGTAGTCGAGGATTTGATTGCAGCGAAGAACAGAAGAAAGAATCGAGCAAAGAAGAGTACAAGTGCCAGAATCAGCGGTAAGCTAATCTTTGAGATGGCTATTTCGATCGTTAAAGTTTGGGTTTCTATATCTCTTCTGTTTCTTTTATCTACATTCATGTATGTTTACGGAGTCTCCTTTCGATCGAGCTATGTCTGACAACTTCCCCTCCCTTCACTCTTCTGGCGTCCCTTCGTCCATATTGGGTTGCACAAGGACGAAGTGAGTAGGATGTCTTTGATCCCTTTTGGAGTCAAGAGGCGACAATCCATGTAATGAATGAGACAGTCTCCGTCCTCTCTCCATTCTGGCTTAAAGAGAAGAAGGAATTGGGGAAAATCACCGAATCTCCTGAAAACCGCTGAAGAATGGTTGTTATCGTCGGGCAGGGCTCAGCCTTTCCCTTTGCTGCGGCGTACTGACTGTTTTCTTTTCCCTTGCAGGGAGGGGGGCTCTGCTGGTGGTGGTGGGAAACAGAAGGACAAGTTCGACGATGCTGGCCTGCGTCGCGTGCTCCAAGCACGAGCAGGGAGACGGCGAGGACCATTCGGCTGCACCTGCACCTGCACCCAACAAACCAAGCTCCAGAGACGCCGTCAAAAGCCTCACATCTCAGGTTCCGTCTTCATCAACCACTTCCCTCCTCTCTCTCTCGCTCTCTCTCTCTCTCTCTCTCTCACACACACACACACACACGCACGCACACACACACTCATAATTTGCTCGACCACTTGCCGCACGCACAAATAGTTGCTGTAGTGACAGGATGCGTGGTACTTGGAAGGATGGACTGGACCAATTAACTTGGAAGCATTGCAGGGGGTGGCACCCAAGGGAGATAAAAGACCTGTTGGTTCATCCTTAGAAAATGAAAGGGGACATAAGGGAGGATAGCGGGTTAAACAACTGGTAGCTTTCCAGCAAAGCACTTAGGTCACTCGTCCTTTGAGGCCGGGGATGGACACAGCGATGGAACGTTGGTATGTTCGTCGGTCCCCAGAAGGTAGGAGTGGGATAGAGGTCATTTCGCTCTCTCCTCTTCGATGGTGGGGAAGATATGGCCTCGGGTCTTCTTAAAAAGGAGCGCTTGTTAGAAAGGGATCCCATTGGGTGTAGTAGTAAGGACGAGGATTGGGTAGAGTGCACCACCGAAGGACGGAGAATAAAGCGGGATGGAGCAGGGGCAGAGTGGTGGTCCGTCGCCACTACAGTCTCCTTTGAACCCTTACTACCTACGGTGGTAGTTACCTCATGGTCAAGGCAGCAGCTTAGCTTTTTTTTCTGGGGGCCTACCTTACCTTTCTCAGGGCATGACGCGCACCCAAAGGTTACTCTCCTACCCTGCAAGTTTTGTCACATCTAAAGCAATTAATGGTGAGCAACTTTTCTCAGGTCATGACATGCCAGATTGTAGCGCTTGAAAACTTTCGTGTTGAACTACCCACCCTTTTTTTTTTTTTTTCTGTTTTACGATTAGATATTATTGTGGCACCTGGAGAGTGTGTGACCGGTACTGTAAATGCAGTGGCCTGTAGACCTTTCCTTTTTATCAGAAGAGCTGCACCCATCGACAAGTAGGTCCGTTCGGTCGTCCTATGAAGGAACATGAGCTGCGACCGTAGTGATCTCACCATGTTATCTTGTCGGAATCCACTCTCCATGTGTGGGCTTTGTACCCACCCGATGCTTCAATCGACATCGGAAGGTGGTTAATTAAGAATTCATTGCGGTAACATAATCACGAATGCCAACCGGTTTGTCGGCCTCGCCGGTGTTTGATGGCCCAAAGTGGTGATTGTTGTAGCAGCTAATCATTCAGATCCGCTTCATTAGACTTGTTAATATAATCCAGATTTGCCAGTTAGTAAATAAAGTACGGTCTAAACACCACTCGAAAGCCTCCTGTTGGATGCTGCATATGTTTGTACAATTAACTACATGGTGCAGCGGTTGATATCATCATCGTTTGGCACGGGACACGGCAAGGTGGCACAGCTGGCTCTAGTCATTCATTCTTGTATTGTACCTCTTGCTGCGAGTCCAATGAAAGGAGCACCGTAATTAGCTTTGAGTGTATCGTCTACAGTTAAAGGACATGATGTTGAAGTTCTCCGGCACGCATCGCCATTGCAAAGGTAGCAGCTCGTCGTTGGGCAGGAGCAAGAGCCTCCACCATCACCACTACCATCACCGCAGCTCCTACGTTGACAGAGACGTCGCCTCCGATGCTGGCAGCCAATCCGACTGCATCGGGGCGGCAGGCAGCTCGAGCTCGACGCCTGCATGGGATTTTTCGAGCTATAGCAACAACAAAGTCGGCCTGCATGAAGAGGAGGGAGGAGAGCAGGATGTAGTAGCGCCGGAGGAGGAAGCAGAACCCAAGGAGTGGATGGCACAGGTGGAGCCCGGCGTCCACATCACCTTCGTGTCCCTTCCCGGCGGCGCTGGAAATGACCTCAAACGTATCCGGTTCAGGTACATATATTTTGATTTAAATGTTACATTTGGGACTTCTTCTGATACTTATGGATAGTGGGATGACACAGCCGGGAGATGTTCAATAAGTGGCAGGCGCAGAGGTGGTGGGGCGAGAACTACGACCGGATCATGGAGCTGTACAACGTGCGGAGTTTCAGCCGCCAGGCTTTCCCTATTCCGCCCGGGTCCGACGATGGCGAGGTTGGTATACCGCACAGTCTCCTTCGTTTCTAGCAATCAAACAAAAACCAATGAACCGGTAATAATAATAATAATAATAACAATGACATGCAGAGGGAGTGGTCGTCATCATTCAACTCGAGGGATGGGCCATCCGACCGCGATCCACTGGTCAAAGAGCGGTTCACCACAAACACGTATGTCCCACCGTCTACCTCCGGGGAAGCAGCCTACTGCCCGCCTGTCCCCGATCCCTCCCAACATCTCCTCCTCCCACAGTACTTCAATCCCGCAGCCTTCGCTGCTGCTGCTTCTGCGGTTGGTGTCTCGGGAGTGAAGGTAGAGAGCTCCTCCATGGACGCATCGAGAACCACCACGTCGTCCAGAGCCTCCATCTCCATCAGCAATGCCAGCGACCTCGACGTGACTGAGTGGGTGGAGAATGACGAGCCCGGCGTTTACATCACCATCCGGGAACTGGCTGATGGCACCCGAGAGCTTCGCCGCGTCCGATTCAGGTGAGACTTTCCTGATTTCCTCTTCTTTTTCCTCGTCGGAATCAAACGATTGCTCTCCTCAGCCGAGAAAGGTTCGGGGAGGTCCGCGCAAAGCAGTGGTGGGAGGAGAACAGAGAACGAATACAAGCTCAATACCTGTGATATTTCTCCGGTTTTGGCGACTCTTATCTGGTCGGCGAGGACGCGGTAACAGCTGACACCATACCAACTGATAGGGAATATACATGAAAACAAGACTGTCGACGAGCACACCATGCGTTTTGACTGCCTGCTGACTCGAACATCCCCGGGGTGAGAGATTTATATGGATGGGCCCTCGTCTTGTGGCCTGATTTATGTAACAAAGGATCGGTGCAGGGTGAATCCAGGAACCGTCCCATGGCTCAAGTACTGAAAGGCCTATGGGAGTGGGTTCTTCCCTTCTCGTTGTTCGTTGAAATGTGCGTATGGTTTCCAGCGGCGATGTCCGGGCGTTTTTGGCTGTTTTATCTGGGACTACTTATTGAGGGTAATATCATTAGCGGAGTCGACGGAGATTGGCCGAACGGAGGCCTTTGGTCTTAATTCGTTCATGTCCGCTAACATCTGTTCAATATGGTCAAAGTCCTTATTTAAGTTGAAGTTAAAGTCTTGGTTTCACCTCTTATAGTTAATTTAATAGTTAATGTAGAAAAAGCACGAGAAGATTATTTTGAAAGGATCTAAAGTTATTCGTTTATCATTTTTATGTTTCTTTTATCTCATATTACTAGTTAATTAATTTTTATGCCTAAAATTAGTATAAATAAATGTCTCCATTAAACCATCAAGAAACAACATCTTCAAGTTATTAAGTATTACATAGATCTTCTCCGGAGTTATTTCTCTTGTTCTCCTTTATAAGGTTAGTTTATTATAATTTTTTTAATAATTTTTTTAATTTTATCTTCGTTCTACGTTAGTTGGTATCATAGTCTAGCTCTCGGTGTTAACATAATAAATTAGGACTAGAATAAATAAAGGCCTTGTCTAAGCTCATACAATTTGCTAGAATCCTTTATAATAAATAAAGGCCTCTTCAAGTATTATAATAGTCTTCTCCACTATAAGTAGTTGATTTCTCTCCTCTTCGATTTGCTAGAATCATTTCTAATAATATTTTCTTAATTTTATTATCATTCTACGTCAATATTTTAAAAAATAACATGAATTAGAACTAGAAGACATTGAGGAATTTAAAGTTTATTCTAAGTTATTACCACGAAGAACAGATTTTTTTTCTTTTTATCTTTTCTTTCTCTCTATATTTTTTTTTCAAATCTTGACTACTATGAATTTTCATGTTGGGAATAAGAAATTTCATAGAAGCATAGAGAAAAATAAATATAAAAAAAATCTATTATTCATAATAATAACTTACGATCTTTGAAGTCTTAGAACTTAGATCTTCCATTCCCTTTAATCTCTATCTCATCTTATCAGTGTTTCTAAAACAATACATTAATCTTGTATTTATAAGGGATAGAAACCTAAAACTAGGACAAGAAATCCTATTCTAAATACAACTTTCAAATCAAAATTGTATCTAATCATCAAGTTTAATTTAATATTCCAACAAAATAATAGTCAATTCAGTTACAAACATGATATGGTATACAATCTCGAAGCAAATTGCAACACTAAAAAGTTGAGATACACCTTATGACACCAGAAACATACAATTCGCTGTATTGTAAAGCTCATCCTATCCAAGTCAAGGCCTCACATACTTATCCAATATACACAATACAACTACATTTTAAACCCTGAATCCCACCCTCCAAATTTTGGAATCCTTCTAAAAGGAATATATGACGATTTGAAACTTTGAAGAACTATTATTCCAGTAACTTTTGTGACTGTCATAAAGGTATTAGCAGTCAGGACAGGCCGCACCTCCAGTTGTAAAATTTCAAGTGTGCCCAAGCATGATACGAGGAACATTATGGAAATCTTTTTTTTTTTGTTTTTAATAGTGGAGCGCTTCTAATGATTTTTTTTTTTTTTGCTATGTTTCTATTTCAGGATTGAATACTAAGATTTGGTTTCTCACCGCTGACCTTGTTTTGCATACCATAGTTTCTTCTGACATATTAATAGCTTCTCCTTCTCTACATTGTATTCTGTGTCATGTTTCTGACAATCCCATCGAATGCCTTTGGCAATGCTTGCTATCGCTTCAACGAAATAGTTTGACTCACGAATTATCACGTACCCATTTGGACGCAGAATACGATCCATCTCGAGGAGCACATATTTCATCTCACACCTGACAGGAAGATAGCAAAGGTCAAGATAGATAAACATGAACATCATTGCATTTGGTCTTCACATACAATATCACCTTACAGTGCAAATGTCTAGTTATCAAATGGAACATTGCACAGCTTGATAGAAGACACAAGATTTTGGACCAAAGGGTTAGAAAGAAAAACATTATCCAGCATTATTTGGTCCATGCCCACTGTAAATGATAGATATATAATCATGTATGTTTATGGATACTAAGACTAGAATAGAAATTGTTCCCAATGTTAGAGATTGGCTTCACCTTGAAGCCATGTAGTTGAAAGAAAACTAACAACCTGTGCTTGGCTTCACCTTGAGGCTATAAGTAGTTGAAAGAAAACTAACAACTTGTGCTTAGTGCAATAACTTTGGTACCCACTTTGAAGTTATTTTCAGGATATTTCCAATCGCTCTGTGGTGTCAGACCTTCTTCGTATCAGCAACGGTGCCTCGGAACATGTCCCATTAGAGACATGTGGAACTTTACAGTGTCAAAAGTATAGTACTCAATTATGGAGTACAATTTTATCAAGATATTGAGATTTTATTCTTCCTAACTGTCAGATGAGTTTCAGAATGTTTGATCAGTTTCTGTTATGATGAATTCATCAACACTAGCTTAGAATCTTCACCAGTTAAGCTAGCTGGCAAAGTCATTAAGTTGTTGCTATTAAGAGTCCTGCCAGACCTACCTACTCACTTCAAGCAGTCTCTCAAGTGTTCAATAAAAATCTCTCTTTTGACGCTCCTTTGAATTTCTTTTTCTTTTTCTTTCTGTTACAAGAACAAAGAAACTACACACATCTCTTTGACCAAAGTAATAAACAGTAATAAGTAAGTTCTTTTAAATGGCTGCCATCAAAACCATATGAAGATAATGAACAAACTTGCTTGTTTTTTCTCAGTTTACTTGCACTGAGATGCATATAAGTGGTTCTTCAACAAATCAAATCATGATAAATCACCATAATGAAGGGCCCTGTGCCCTCAGTCCTCAATGAAGTGTGGTTCTATTATGACAAAATCAGATCTTGTCCTTGGAAAAAAGTTATGATAATGTTCAGCTTTCCATTTAATTACTGCTGCAGTTTTATACTACCTTTACCAAGTTCAGGGGCATATTATTTCGAGCATTAGTTGAAACATCTTCAGTCGGTCACTAGCAACCAGTTAAATAAGAGAAAAGAAAAACAGTGTCTAAAGCATTTTACCTGTGACTTTCTGCAGTAAATAGCCCATCAAAATGCAGGAGGTCATATGTTCGAGGATATGTTGAAAATGCCTCACACCTATGTGAAAAAAATTGAAGGATCATAGTAAATACTTGAGTCGATTTAAAAAGTCTTCTCGTGATAAACTACTACAAACAAGTTATGAAACTTTAGACACGGATGCCACAATATGATATAAATGCAAATGACTGTAAAGCTAGTGGCAGTTTTGTATCCAAAGAGTAGTAGGCACACGCCATTGGAACTAACTTACAGCATAATACATACATCAATGCTAAGATAACAGAAGAATATTATAAAGTAATGAGCTAACTCCAGCAGTAGATTCAACAGCATATTTCATAAGCATCTTTCATTAACAAATCCAGTAAAAAAGACTGCTTACACAGCTGACCTGAAAAAGTTCTATTCCAAAGATGGTGAAAATTATATCAGATGATAAGGGAAGAGAAAGTTGAAAATAGGTAAGTTCAATATGGATTCAACAGTGGAAGCAGAACAAGAACACCAATTTGTTATTTATTGTCTGGGATACAAGTGCATCACGCCTTCTCATTTTGCAAAATTTCCACATGTAGTATCTCAGAAAGCAGAAACATTGAAGTTCCCAGATAGAATATGTTTCAAATGACCTTAATTTAGATATTCAGAGCTTGTTTCATCCTATTCATCAAGTTTAATGCACTCAACATCATTATGTAACAAAATTTTGATTCTGATAGAGAATTGTGAGCGCTCACGAGATATGAGGAAAGATGAGAAGACACCAAAGAAGGCACTTGAAGGAGATAGAGTCTCTTGCATGATTTACAGTGTCATAAAACTTAAGTACACAAAGCAGATTATTATAAGTTTCATGCAAGGCTCTTTTGCCATTTAGACATCCAGACACACGAAAAGAATCCTTATTTGTTAGTTCCAGATGCACTGACTTGATTAACAAAGATTTAGTTGGCTTAGTTCACTTTTATTCATGTATGTATCTAGATTTAATTAGAGAAATCAGTATGAGAAGGTAGTTCAAAGTGATTTGGATTCTTATTCAAGTAGTGGCTTACCAATCATGGTAGGTTCCTATGAGCCCCCTGTCATAGACCACACCGAGAGAATTTGGACCATATGAGGAGACAACGTTCATTACCCACACAGGATAACTGATGAGTGCTGCTGCAAATCCTCCGTATAGTGTATTCATATCCATAACATTTCGGATTTTATCACTTCCAAGGGCCGGAAGCAGTGTCTTATAATGTTTTACTCTCACCTTCCACTTGCTGTCATCGTGCTTGAATCCACCAGAATTCCCACCAGGGACCACAGCAATACGTTCTGGAGCCATATGTAGCCGTTTGGGCCATCTTGGAGCAGATTTTAGTGCCAACTTCTTCAACTTTTGGCTTGGAACATTCAAGCAAGTTCTAAGTGGTATGTACCATGCTGAATCTGGATCCATGCTGTCATCACATTTTGGTGGAAAAGAAGATGGATTGAGTTGATCATAGCAACTGTTATCTACAGATTTCTGCCACACGGCAATGTCATCCTTTATTTGGTAGAGTTTGAAGCACATGCTGGTTAACAATTTTTTTATTTTGTCAAAATTGGCTTTCTGTTCTTCCACTGTAGTGTTCCATCCACGCCATCTGTTTTCATAGTTTACTGGAGGGCCAGAGAGTACCCAGAAGCCACCAGGTCGAAGTATTCGGTGTATTTCTAGCAGATAAATTCCATCTGAAATACGAATGTAACATTTAGGATCATTGATTTGTAATATCACGTAGATTAAGAGTTATATGTTGGTAAGTACCACAAATTGGGTAAGATCACAGATCTAAGTTGCAATACAGAATACATAATTTGGTATGAAGAAAGGATCAGCCATTTAATGTTGGAATAAAAAGTTCAATTTCAAAAGTAAAAGTAAGAGAGACATATAGGTAATCACATAAAATGATTATTAACAATATCTGAGAATGAATAGAAGCAACTTGGCATGATTCAACTGCAAATTACTATGGAGAAATGAAATATGAACAAATATGTAGAAATGTGGAATGCAAATATCGTTTTGATTCTTTTGAATAGGAAACAAAGACATTAACAAAAAAAGTCCTATTCAAATTTACCAACACATAAATACTGGAAACATGATAAAAGAAGTATGAAATATCATGTTTTGGCAGACCCTCTTTCTTCCCTGCTAAGAAGGTTAAACTCTTAAGCAATCTCATTATATGTATGTATATGTTGAAATTATTGAAGGACTTTTCCTGTGATATTTCATAACTTAATACTAAAAACACACTTGAGAGCACCAAATATGGACCAGCAATATATGCTTATCAACAAGCCATAAGATTACCAAATTCTGTCCATGGAATAAGACATCTGGAGCAGTGTGCCATATCAAATGAATTTGATGGGAATGGGAGACGTTGAGTAGAAATGATGCCTAAAATTGCTGGAATGCCACGTTCAAGGGCAAACTGTACTTGAGCCTCATGATTATCTCTGGGTGCAAGAGAAACAGTTAAAATTCCACGATCTAACAAATCACCACCCCAGCTTGCAACCTATTGCAGAAAATCAGAAGCATGATTTAGTTGGGCTACTAAATATCATTTGTCTAATTTCATAATATAAACTTAAAGTTAATAATAGCAATGTTCAAACAAGGTACTATTCAAACAAGGTATGGTTAAAAGATACTTAGATTAAAGTATTATAACTTTGGATCACGACAGATCTGATGAAACTTTAGCTAACATTTAACTTGATTTCTCTTTCCACATCTGTGAGGTTCAGGACACAATATGATAAAAACCATATCAAGTAATTTTGATCTTGGAGAAAAGCTATGCTGAGAATATTCATTATTGCCATCTTCTCAACTTCCTATATTAGGGTCAAATGTACAAAACAATAAAGAGAAATAAATATCTCCAACTAGTGAAACTTCTTTACCAGTTTTTCAGAAAAAAAAATAAGCATGTGCATACAGTATGGTATAATTAAAGCCATTCCCCTGGCTGAGCTAAATATCAATGAAATCTAAAAGCTACAAGGAACCAAAGCAATCGATCGATGGATTAAACATTCATCCAAAGATACTTATATGCAAATTCTGGGCCTAGAAAATGAATGAGGAAAATAGATCATGTTCCCTTTGCTGCACCCATACAGCCCTACAAAAAAGTTGCTAGGAAAAGTATATTGTTTATTTAACCTGAACATAAATGGTCAGCACTCACCCCACACCCTGTATCAATGGCAGTTCGGATAGTTCCATTCTTCATTCCAGGAATAAGATCTTGCATCAGGTCAACATAAGCACCAACTCCATTGGGAAACATAGTACCTCCACCTGGAAAAATGAACTTTTCTCCTTCTTTTCTAAGCCAGTGCTGATTTGATTTCTGGTTGTTTATCCAATCATATGGAACATTTCTGGACCATATACAAAAAGGCAAGAAAATGATGACTGCACTTTTAGGAAGTATCAACAGGGAAAGTGTTTAGCATGCAGAAATCTACAGATAAGCTAACAAAGACTAGAGAATTTGATTAAAGAGGTAATAGAAAGAATACCTGTACCAACATTGATCTCTACTCTTTGGCCATCTGATAGGAACCTTATACCCAGCAGGAGGTGGTACTAAACATTCTTTCCTCTCAACCATTGGCGGGCAATGGCGCTCCATAAAACTAAGCCTGTAGTTGCCATACTTCTTCCATCTCTACACAAAATGAAAAATGCTCTGACGACCATGAGAAAGCTATATAAACAGACTTTTTCAGCATGCCATCAAGATGCATGCACATTTAGTTTTCTTGTGTTGTTTAATTAACTTTGCATGTCAGGGACTTAAAACTTGAAACGTCAAATACCAATAGGCAGAGAATGCTACCATGTCTCCAGGATCAACAAGGGAGCAGAAACTACAGGCAAGGTACTGAAGGAATATACACTAAACTAGAGTATAACCAAGAAAAAGAGAAAACCTAAAACAGTCACCATTCATATTCTCTATTGTCATGTACCATGATGTCTAAAATTGTATGACATCTAGTGCCAAACACTAGCAAGCAGAAATTAAAAACACCTTGGGGTCTGTGCATGGTGTGTAATCTTGATAGTCACTACTGCACTCAGGGAATTCCACAGATTCAATCCGAAGAGGAGCTAGTACAGATTTCTTATGCAGAATCGCTGGTGCAACATCCTGTTTAAAGAATCTATTTTTTTCAGAGAAATAGATGCCTCCAAGATAGAATGAAAATCCACATAGGACAATGAGCATTATAGTCATCGGGATGATCCTAGAACTTGTATCGTGATATGCTGATGATTTAGTATCTTTGTTCTTCATTCTTTTTTCCTTCCTGTAATAGGAAAGGAACAAAATAAGCCATGATTGTAAAGCATCTCATGATTTCATAACCAGAAACTATGAGCATTCTAGTAAAAATGTGCAACAAAAATTTTGAAGAGGAAGGATAATAATGAACATAATACATTTCTCATGCGTGACATGACATTCATAAAAATAAATTATCATTATTTTCAACCTGAGAAAGATTAACTAAGAGTTAGAAAAGATTAGAGCAGTCTATGGTCATCATATCAATAGAAGAATAGGTGTCAGGATTGACTTAATAAACAAATCATTTATGAAAATTTAATATCAACAAGGCCTTAATATTGTTAAATCAAACTTCTTCTTAACCATAAATGGAAAAAAAATGTCGTGGCTAAGAATGTGATATCCGGCAAGATCATGAATGAATCGTTAAAATAAAGTTCAACAGCCTCTTACGATGAACGGTCTTCGTAAGCTATTATTTCAAATTACTCACTCAGAATATTCCATAAAAGAGTTAGATGAAGATGTATGTACTGCAACAAGGACAAAGGGTCATGCACATGTGCAAGATTTTATATTCTCAACAGACCTATGCTCTCAGCAAGAACAATTCATATACTTGAGCACTTCTTTGTACTCAAAAATGCAAAAGAGAGCATTCTTTTCTATATTGTCTTTTATTTATTGTGGGGGATCTATACAACACCTACAGATCTATCCAAATATATTCTTTTAATCTAAATTTCCTTGGTGTGTTATTCATCTTTTAGACAAATTACCATAAGCCTTTGTTAAGCAATCTAGCATATTGTTATTTGTCTGAAATTTACTTGTCAAAGTCTTAAAAGAATCATGCAAGATGCAACCAAAACGAGGTCTATGTGAAGAAGTCGAGCTGCATGTTTAATCACATGTTTCTTGGTATAGTGGATACTGTATCAGGAAACAGTGATATCATCTACAAACAATGTAACTATTGTTTCTCTATTGGTGCCAACTATCTAATACCTTTGATCTACTGTACTAATCTTTATTAGAGACTTAACAACATGCCATATAAGCTGAATGTACGCCATCATATGCTAGTATATTCTTCCAGAGATGATTGAAGAATGAATCTTCAGCGCTAAAATAAATTTTATCTGCATGTTATTTCAAACTTGATTTGCTATGTGGTAATTAAAAGCAACTGCACGAATAATTAACAGAGCTAATCATCATCATCATCATGCCATAGATCAAGTGTCAATTAGTAGAACTAGTATATATATATATATATATATATATATATATATATATATATATATATATATATATATATATATATATATATATTAGATCAAAGATTAAATTAATGAATGACAAGCAAAAACGTAGAACTGAATCAAAATTATTGCCAAACTGCGGAAGATTCTAGACAGAAAACCAAACAGATTCACAGGAATAGAAATGTTTCCATATAGAGAACATCCTGATGGGAAGAGACTTCAGAGTTCAGACCAATTACACAACTACAAGATATTACTAATCCTCGATCCATTTCTATAACCGACGGAAGAATCGGAATGCTCGAAATAAAATGTGATGAGATGCCGGCAAGCCAAGCTGCCGGAGAACAATAACCGAGTCACTAACAATTAGTGCGCAGCGTTAAACATCTCACTTCTCGTCCCCAGGGCGAAACCAATAACATGCCGATTCGAGTAAGGACCATGGAGACGAAGATACCAGACACGCCACCATGGTTCAAATAACAGAGCAGATGTCGAGAAGTGCGAATTGGGCAAGAAAATAAACCGGATCGCGAGCCGTCACCGGAGTCAGATCGACGAACACAGTCAGCCAGAGAAACAAAACGTACCTCGGATACCGATGCGCCTCTTCGCTTCGCCTCAGTCCACTCCCTCGCTCTGTCTCCGGATCGGAAGAGGCGGCGAGGGAAGGGGATTGCGGTATGTGGAGAGAGGGAGAGATCTCAGTTCATCCAACGACGGCTGATGGCCCGAATCGAAACACTGACATTTATTTATACGCCAAACGAATCGCCCATAGAGAGACGCAGCTTTCTTTAACTTGTTTGTTTCTGTTTGACAGCTGGCCTCTGACGGCGACGACCCCAAAACAGGATGAATCGAGAACAACCGCCTGACACGATCGTGGCCGAGACACGGAGGGAGGGAGGGAGGGAGGGAGGAGGAGGAGCGAAGAAGAAGAAGAAGAGAGGGAGGTTAACGATCGGAACATTTACGAAAGTAATCGATGGAACGGCATTTGCGTTGCTTGGCTCTCACTCCCTCTTCTCCTTTTGCTTTTCATGGCTTTCTTCTTCATGACCTGCGATTGACATTGACACGACGAGTACGGCATTGATTGGTTGATTAGGTGGGGCCAGTATAACGGGGGCGGGACTCCGTACCGTCTCACTCTTTAAAAATAGTATTTCACATATATGTTGAGTTTGAGCCATAACTTCAAATTTTAATTTTGAATTGAAATATTAGTTATAAATAATTTGACTCATTCATATCAAAAATTAGGTGAAAATAATTGATCCGAATACTATTTTAATTTTTGATAAACAAAATTATATATATATTTTACAGCATAACAACAGAATTATATATATTTACATTATAGAAAGTATATTATATGATAATTGCACAACACAGCAGAAAAGAATCACAGAATGAGACAGCAGGATTTTTACGTGGTTCGGCAGCACAATCGCCTACGTCCACGGAAGAGTAGCCACTATGCAATCAATTTACATACAAGCATTTCTACTGCCTTCTTCACAAGACAAAACATACAGATTTTGATGTTCAGGAAAGCGTCTTCATCATCCGCAAGCATCTGCAGATTAAGAGGAGTCTTCTTGGTCATTTTGTCCAGATTTTGCAGCAACAGGGAGGAGTCTTCTTTATTCCACTCTTCACCTGATGTGATTATAACTGCTAAAAGGTGTTCGAGTTGTAGACTTTGCCGCAGGTTTTGATTCTTCAGGAGTTCCGAATACGTTCCAAAATCTAAGAGTTTCATCTCCTGCTGCAGATGCAACAGTACACCCATCTGGACTCTGCAATTTAATGACAACCGTCAGCAATTCGAACCAATGCTTCTGTTGTCCTAAATGAGAAATCAATCCGTACCTGGGCCATGAATAGAACTCGTGAAGTATGACCTGTGAGCTCGGCCATCTTCACCATGGAAGGGTACTTCCACAAGGTCAGTTGATTCTGAGTGAATCCGTGGGAGCTGAGCAACTCGCGCTCGTTCTTGTTCCACAGCAGGGAACATACTTGAGATCCAGTGTCCACCGAGTTCAGACACGCACCGGTGTGAGTGTTCCAGAACTTGATGCACCTGTCGCCTCCGCCGCCACCGGAAGCAAGCAGATTGCTCTGGAACGGGCACCAAGCGAGAGCCTTTACTGCAGCCATGTGATCGTCAAACCTGTGGAGCCACTGGTTTTGACCGGGAGATGGATTCGAAGAGGCCATGGAGATGTCCCATATGTGGAGAAGATTGTCGTTGCCTCCGCTCGCCAATTGCTGTCCTGATCCGGACCACTTCAGTCCGCACACCTCCTGTTGGTGGCCTCGATAGGTCTGCACAACATGAGATCTCACTCTCACGTCGTTGTTAACGATCATCCCGTCCATTCCCCCTGTGGTCAGAATGTTGTTGTTCCATGCCAGAGAACCAACTCTGGATCCATGGACTCCTCTGAGAGTCCTCATCTGTGATACAACAGCGAGTCAGATGACCACTAGTACAAATATGATGTTGAGAGGGAGAGAAGAGGAGGAGAAGAAGACAAAGCACCGACCAAGCGATTGGAGGTCGAGTCCCAAAGTTGGATGTCCGAGGAGTTCAAGCCAACAGCGATGTGCCGCCCATCGGGAGCCCAGCTGACGCTGGTGACGGGGCCAGCATCGTCATCCACGGTGACAAGCTCAGACGTAGACCCATCTGCAGCATCCCACAGGTACACGGTGTTCCCGAGTGCGATCGACAACACGTTGCTGCTCCCCCAGTCCAGCAGATTCAAGTAGTAATCATCCACGATATCCGGCGCATCTAAGGTCCTCTCTGCTGACTGAAAACATCGACAAGAATTTGCTAGGACCGGTAAGAGAAGCAGCAACCCAGGGAGCAAAACGTGGCACGAGAATAGAGTAGACCAGAAGGAAGAGCAAAAAAGATTACCTGTGGGATGTACCTGCGCTGCTTCGCAGGCTTAACGTGATGAGAAGAAACGACATCGGCTTCGTGAAAGAAAGGCTGTGCCGGTGCAGGAGGTTTGTTCCTGAAAGCAAGAATTCTAGTCCTGTTCTTTAGAATGTTCTCAGCAAGAAGCTTTCTATATGCCTCTTTGGAGGGGGAAGCTGCGGCTGCGTTCTCCTTCTCTTTCCTCGTCTCGGTCAGGAGGTAGTACGCCACGTCCATGTCCATGGCGGACCGATCGGGAATGAACCTGTCTCCCTGTAATCGTCCGAAAAGAACATTAAGGAAAACCACATTTAAGAGGAACCATTAGAATCCTAAACACACACAATTCCAAGAGATCGAGATCAGAAACAAATATGGCGACCAGTGTTTGTTCTGTTGCAGGCAAGAACAGGGGCTTACAGTCTGCCGAGACGACGGATTCCTGGAGGAGGTATGCATGGAAGGCATGAACGGCCTCGAGGGGACGTCCTGGAGAGGGTGGCGACGAGACGCCGATCGACGGTTCCCTGAAGAGACAGACGAAGAAAAGCTTCCTGCGTCCATGGGATTAGAAGAAATCGCAAAACCAATCCAAGAAAACAATAGAAATACTAAAGGAACGATAATAACGAAATAAATCAATCACAGAGAGATGAAGCCTGCAACCAAAAACTCGATCAGACAACAAATAGTATGAATATACAAAATAACAGCAATTTAATTAAGATGGCTTTTCGTTCTCCTCCGGTGAGGCCGGACAGAGAGATCGCTTGCAGAGAGGAGGAGGCGATGGGAGGAGTTTGCTTTCCCTCCTTCCCCTTCGCAGAGAGAGATCGAGAGACGACGATGGGGTGTAGAGCGCGTCGCTGTACGAAAGGTATGTTGACGGCACCCCGTTTCGGCCTATATATGGACGGTCAATCCAAGGGGTTCGTGTTGTTTCTTTGGGCAGACGCCCTCCAACGGCTAGTTCCGACTTCCTCGTCTCTGCCATCCTTCGACAGACAGCCGGAGAAAGTAGCCGTTGGAATCGCGTGCAGGTTCCTACGGTGACGATCGATCAGGTATGAAGGAGATGTACGGTGATAAGCGCAACAACGCCACGGGATTTCCGCAGGGGATGAAAGCTTTCCTTTGGCGGCGAAGAATGGCGATGCCATCCTGTCATGAGCCCAATGGGTCAAATTGACTCGACCCGAGTCTGACTCGATCGGATCAAATGGGTCCAATCCTGGCCGGAGGACAGATGGATCTGATGAGCCCGGTGGTCCAAACAAGGTTAAACCCCTCCACTAAGAAAATGCCTTTTAAGCAGTGCTCCTTTCACGTGCTGAGTCATCAGTTGTATCTAATAAAATGATTCGAAAAAACCTTGTATATTAAAATTCCCAATAATTTGACATATTCAAATAGTTAGCTAAATAAATTAACTTTCGTGTTTTGATAGCTTAGGTGACTCACCTTTTTTTTTTTTGACTAAATGAAAATCAAAATCCACAATAATTCACCTTTTGTTAGTATAAAATTGAATTTATTTTTTGCCTTCTTCGATCTTACTTATATATCTCAATATTTTTAATATAACACTCATGATTTACATTTTCACTTATTTTTTTATTACTTCATCTATGACTAAATATCTTATGATCCTCTATATACATACTATTTAAAATTTTTTTACATTAATTATAGTTAAATTCATTCAAGTCTTAAATTCACTTAAGATCGATTAAAATTTAATTATTATTTTTAATCATTATATGAATTTTTATTGCTATAACCTAATCTTATATTCAAGTCTGTTAACATACTTTGTTTTGTTGCGTTATGCTTAACATATATATATTAATGTTTATATATATGCTCAGCTAATATTTTGTAAATCGTTGATAATTATGTTTTTGGAAAGCATATACTTTGATCTTAGAGACAGAAAACATGAATATTTTATTTATCATATTTATGAAGTATAAACATCACAAATTATATTATTAAGTAAGGATAACAAATACCATATTATTATATTGTAATCCTTTCTATTTAATATCATACATCATCGTATATATATAGCCTTTATGGATTAACGCACAGTCCAAAGCACGGGTTTATTATACATTTAATGAAATAATTTTTTATCTTTAAAAAACATATATTTTAGAAGTCGTAGATATATTCCATCATTCGATTAATTATTAATTCATTTGTTATAAGCTTTATTGTTAGAATACAACATATAAAGAAAGAGTACAAAAATAATCACTGGTGATACTCTTGGTGATCTCGTGGGATCAAATGATCGATAGTTTTGGGGAGCAAAGCTTTATTAGTTCTTCATTTCATCCTATGTCAATAGAAAAAAAATTAAGGACTCTTTTTGTTGGTTTCATTGGGTTTGACAAAATAGTTTTTTTAGTAAATGATGAAAATCATGGGTATATAGTTTAACTGGGTGTCATTTTATGAAACACTATCATTTAGGGTATCATTCAGGATATTATTCTCTCTTTCCAATTCCTTCTTCATCAAATGTCATTAAAAAATTTTAAAAGATAGATCTTAGACAATTTAAGTGGAAATCTTATAATTGTTCCTATCATTTTGATTTTAACCTTCTGATAAGAGAATCATTTATACTCTTATTTTAACTCAGTTTATTGGTTCATCTTACGAATATTATAATAAATGAGTCAAACTAAAAAGAAATAAGATTAAAAATAAATTACATTAAAAAAAATTCAACTACATAGGTAGCGATACTTAACGACCCAACCACAACAAATCACGAGTTGTACATACTCACCCGGTTGGTTTCTTATCGTGGCTTATTCATTCCGCATGGCCTCTCATTGGGTTTGTTATCTCGGTATGGATGCCCCTCCGGCAACACTATTCCATTCCGGTTGCTATATCTATGAATCTATGAGTACTATAGCATCGTTAACCACCGCCATCATAGCCTTCGACTGTTGCCATTAACCTTGACTGCAGGGAAGCACATAGCTGAGTTCATTGCTGCGACCCTGCAGTCGCCATCGTCCCTTCTTGTGCTGTTGCAAATAGTAGGGCTATCGCACATCAGCAAAGCAATAGGTCGTCACCCTATTATGGACTTTGTTGATCTTAGTTTATCTTGTGCTCACATGATAGTGTAGGAAAATAAGATAGCGAATTAGCGTTAAACATTATATAAAGGCCCATTTAGTCATATGCTATCCAGGTAGCTCCTGGATGCTATGTTGGTTGATATTTTATACCACAATCCTTAAAATAGCTATTTGGATAATTTATTTTTGAGCAATTTTATCTCTGCGATGATTATACAAAACATATATTTAATACCTAAATATATATAATTTTTTTCACGATTTAAGATAATTTAGATTTCAATAACATGATTTTAATATCAATTAAAATCATAAACTATAATATGAAAATTTTAAATATGAAAATTAAAATTATTTCAACATAAAATATACGTACCTTTCAAAGTTGGAACGTTCCTATTCGGACAAAGTCTAATTGTTTATGTTAACATAGAGATACATCCCTTAAAACTAAATAATAATCCTTCACGTCTAATTTTGTTAGTAAATAATATAATTTGTTTTTGGAAAAAAAGGCTATTTTTGTGAAAAGGAAAGTATTAAGGATACATTTGAAATTTAAACGTGATCTCTTACTCACATGCGTTGCACGTGACAGTCTTAATTAAGTGAATCCACCCGCCCGACTTAGCTCCGGAATGATCAGATGCAGTGATGGTTATATAAAGCCTTGGATAAAAAGAAATGGAGGGCGTGAGATTAGTTTCCAGAACAAGTGGTACAGTTCTCTGGTTAGTGACCCGAAGAGGATGCTCTCATCATCAGCAGCATCACACGGTCGGTCCTCCTCCTCCTCTACCCCACCAACTAAAACGACCGTCTCACCACCACGGTAATAAGATTAATTACAATAACGAGAGTCTTGCAGCGAGAAGGGCACAAAGGGGGGCGGCGTCCCGGAGAGGAGGAAGAGGAGGAGGAGGAGGAGGGCAGGCGCGACGCCTCCGCAGGAGCGGAGAGATGGGCGACGGCCGCGGCGGGGGAGGTGGGGGGAATCGACCGGCGTGGCTGCAGCAGTACGAGCTCGTGGGGAAGATCGGGGAGGGGACCTACGGGCTGGTGTTCTTGGCGCGGACGAGCCTCCGCAAGGGTTGTATTGCCATCAAGAAGTTCAAGCAATCCAAAGAGGGCGATGGCGTCTCCCCCACCGCCATCCGAGAGATCATGGTGCGTATCTATCCTTTTATCGATTCTTTTCGTTGGTTGGTTCTGGTGATGTATCAAGTCGGTGGATCTTGGTCCTCAGGGGCTCGAATCTTAAGGCTGCTCTTTTGTCCCACCTCGAGGCTATAGATCAGAGACGACTATAATGGTTTATATGTTGGTTTTTCGTATTACAAGGACGAGATGAGTTCCCCTCCTCGAGGATAGTTGGGAGACACAACTGTTTTAGTTGATAGGTTAGTTTTTAGTATCGTAAGAATGTGTTGTAGATGATATTTGCTATATAAATGCCAACTTGGGATGGTCAGGCGCAGTTTTTTTGTGCATGAACACGAGATGCCATACCCGGTAAATGGAGGAGGTGATTGATGAAAACACTGATGTCCAACCAAAGGATACACCAAGTGGCTTTGAATGGTTTCTCATCTTATTTCCTATATCATGGCCGGCGAGAGGATCAAACAGTTTTATAGCTTGAATTACCTCAGTGGAGGTAGAATTTAGTGTTTAGTTGTTACTTTTATAGAAACACATGGATTTCATCAATTTAAGCTTTATATGATTGCTTGTATATTAGTGTTTTAATAGGCGACCAAGCCCTCGCCTAGGTGGTCGGGTAACGTGAGGTGAGGCTTGAGCGCCTCGCACAATCTCTAGGTGACACACTTCACCGAAGAGTCGCCTAGGCGCTCACCTGAGCCCAGGCGCCCAGACATTGTGCGAGCACCCGATTCAATGCCAGCGAATCGAACCAGAATGTGTAATTTGGTTCGATCGAACAATAACTTAGTTGGTTTAATTGAACCAACTAAACCTCATAGTAAAACCCCCTCGACCCCAACCTCGACCTAGTGAAAGTAAAACCTGAGACTCTCGTTGGTCAACCTACCTTCTCCCCCGTCGTTGCCTTTGCACGCAGCTCCCTCCGCCATTAATGGATAGGTTTGAAGCTTCCTTTGCCGTCGCTGCCTTCGTGCACAACTCCCTCTGGACAGGTCCGAAACCTCCTCTGCTATTATCATGTCATGGGCTTAGCTGGTTTTGCCTAAGTCGTGCGACACCCTTGCATGTCTGTCTACAAAGGCTGAGCCTCCCCGAAACCTCTTATGATCCCTTAAAGACCTACAAAAGAGAAGACGAGTTAGAGAAAGCGTTTAACTCAGGATCCACAAGCAACCATTTCAGCAAACATTTGATAGGTAATGCAAGTTACAAACATGGACTTTGCAAGATCTGAACGGTCGCATGACAAAAGGTCCAAGGTGGTCACGTGGCCCAAAGTCCCCACAAGTGCTCATATGACACTATTGCAGAACGAGGCAGTGAACCAACCCTAGACACTATCCGAAAGGCCCATCCAGCCATGTGTCACCTAGGGAGCTTCTAGGTGCTGTATTGGGTGACCGTTCGTACCACTCTGTGGAGTTAGAACTCTCAAAATGGTTGCCTGGATGGCCTGTTTTAGAGCAGTTTTGCCTTTGCATGACGATTGCACATAACCTGCATGTACAAGCCTGAAACGACCACCAAAACCAGCCAAAATGGGGTTGCCAAACTTATTGCAAACTCTTTATATGCTGTGCAAAACATGAACA